TCTTAGCTGCTGAATTAATAGATTCTGCCTTCTCTTCCTCTTCACCTCCAAATACAGATGATTTCTGAATGGTTTTATCTGGCTGAGCTCAAGCGGAATGTAAAATGAAAAGACAAGGCATCTTTTAGTTTAACGGTCTAAACACATTGCCAATGACATAGTAGAGAGCAAAATATACATTGCATAACAGAAAAATAAGCCTGAAAATGAAAGCCTACTAAGTTGGAGGCACTTTGGCTATCACTGAATATTCAATCGCTGAAACAGCTATGAGAAAATATGATCGTGCTTATGTGTTTGCACTGAGACCACTTGCTATCAGCTCTCATTAATTACACCGCGGCTTCATCTGTTTGCAGGAACTGTGGCGTGAAATCCACCGCCATCCAAAAAGGGACTCCAAACAAGTCAGTCACAAACCGTTTCAATAAAATTAAATTTTATTCTGTATAAGATAAGCCTACAAAAGTAATGAAACAGCTTAGCTTAAAAAAATTGGGGGCTGATTTTATCCTTATTTACTTGTTAGATTCTGCCTAGTAGATTATATTCCACAAATATTTTGGGGTGAATAAATAAATAAATTCATCATAAATAACTTATTTGGAAAAAATAGGAGGTATATTTTACATTTTTGGAGAGACTTCCTAAACTCCATTCCTTCACTGCCAGCTCCCCAGGAGAGAGGGCATGCCTCAGCTGATTGGTTAGCCTGGAGCCAAACCTGCTTGGATGAGCCCTTTCCTGTCTCTTTTTCAGATCAAGCTGGTTTGCAGAATCTAATTTATCCTTCTTCATGTCCTCTGTTACAGGGGCAGCCTCTGCCTCTATGGGAGAAGTCTCCAGTTGTTCCAGGGTAAAGTATGTCTAATTTAGAGGTGAAGTATCAACAAGTCCACTTGGCTACAGATCCAAAGCCATGACCTTCCATGTTTCCTCAGTGTTGAGTTGACAGTCTGTTATCCATCTACCTTTCATCTCATTTCTCAGTTGATTACACAGGAGGAAAAGACAAAGATGTTCTTTACTGGCCCCCTAAAGCTACAAGTCAGGATAAGAGGTAAAATGAAAATGAAGAGCTCTTTCCCCTTCCTGTCCTCATTATTTTTTAAAGCACTTAATTATCCACACATGTGGTTGAGAAGATGGTTTTGTCTTATCAAACAAATAGCATTAGTTTTGTAGTCACAGTATCAACATGATCACATAAGCTCAGCAAAAGTCAAAAAGCCAAAGTGCTGAAGTTAGTGATGGGAACTAACCAAATGCACAAAAAAGCAAACAAAAAAACCCTAGTAAATAGTCTTTGCGTCCAGGAACAAGATCAGATTTTCAAACAACCTCTTGTTAGATTAGATGACCTGATATTTTAAAGATTCTTCAGATTTAAAATACTGCTTTCTATTTAAAATTCTACCTGCACACTGCATGGATTGCTTTAAATCATGCTTTCTGTAGCTTCTTTACCAGTTCACATAAAGTGCAACTATAGAAACAAGCCAATGAATAAACATGAACCTCTACTTCTTCATCTGTAAAAATAAGGACATCACCCTCTACTGCTCAAAGATATTGAAGGGACTGAATCATACATGTGGAAAAGTTTATCAGAATTCCAGACACATACATTTTAGTTTCGTTTCCTTTATTTATAGCCCGCAGCTGCTATCTTTTGCCACTAGATGGCAATGCTGCTGCAGTAAATTGTCGCACAAAAGGAAGTCTGCATATTAACGTCTAAAAGTGAAATGTGTAAAACATTAATTTACAGGGCTTTTCCTGGCATCTGATGGACTGATAAAACTTTGGACACCTAAAAGAGACTAAAATGTTCACTTTCCTGTAAGAAATGAAAGTGCTAATGGTGCCTTTACATTTCATTTTAAACTCAATTCACTTTAATTAAGAAATGTGAGAAATCCTATTGTATAAGACATTTGTTGATGGCTAATAAAAATGATTATTTGAATATTTACCTCTGACCCCAAACTGAGAGAAATGATCTCATCCTCAAAAGCAGAATGCGTGTCAATATGAGCAGGAATTCCTGAGACAGAAAACAAGACAACACTTAAGATGCAAATTCCTCAAGAGACTAAGTGTAGAATTACAAGGGATTAAAATCAACACAGGTAACAAACATAAGCAAAGTACTCCAGGAGTCAGTTCCAGCTAAAAAAATATCTTTGCTCTTAGAGATTTACATAATCCACTTAGTTATGAATTATAAGACTGGAATTTTAAAAGAAGAAACACTTACCCTGCCCAGGTTCATACTGGTTCACAGTCAGTTGATCAGGTTTATGTTCAATGAAACCCTCCTTCAGCCATTTCTCCAAAATGCTATCACAAAGGTCAGGAAGACCTGAAGTCAGTAATCATACAGGTGAAACGTATTATTAAAATACTTACTTCACATGTTTCACCCAGAATTAAAAAAAAAAGTCACTGAGTTAAAAATCACCCAACTTTTAATTTAGCAGTCAGATCCAAACATAACAGTAAACTCACCAGCAGAGCAGAATAAGAACAAAATCTTAAGAGTCTTTTGAAGTTATTTTATTGATTTTATGAAGTAAAACATACAAAAGAACAATTCTGCGGACAAAAATTTTAGTATTTTGTAAAATAGCAATAAAACTACAAAATTTACTATATTATATACTGGAAATAAGCCTGACCACTTTCTTCTGTGTTATCTTGAATTATTAATGTCTTTTAAATTATTTCTCTTTAAAAAACACACTTTTCAAAGTGGAACTAACTTACTTTTATTGGATTCATAAATGTTATTTCTTGAGGCAAAGGAAACCTTTAAATAAGATAAAAGTCATTAAAAAAAATAGATAAATTTAACTCCAACAAAGAATTCTACCAAAGGACTAATATCCAGATTTTATAGTAAACTCTTAACTGATATGTTAAGACAATCCATTAGAAAAAACTGGCAAAGAAGATGAAAAAGAATTCACAGAAAAGGAAGTAAAAATGGCCAACCTCACTAGTAATCAGGTAATTATAAAATTAAAAATTTTACCATAGCCCAAGTCGCTAGGGGTAGGGGGGAGGAGGTACACACTTGGTGAGAACATGTCGGTATAGCATTTTTAGGGTGCAATTTGTCAGTGTCTATTAACATTTTTAAATGTGCAGAACTCTGACACAATTCTAATTTAGTAGTTTCCCTTGAGAAACTCTTGCTGAGTGCATAAAGAGGTGGACACAAAGATATCCTCTGCAGTACAACTTGTAAAAGCTAAAAACTAGAAATAACCTGAATGTCTATCAAAAGGAAAGTAACTAAATAAGCTATTATAGAACATTTAATAAAAAGAAAAACTATGTAAGGTCTCCAAGACATACTGTGAAAAGAACCAGTTGGAGTGATACATGCAGTACATGAATACACAATTTGTAACATACAATATAATACTACACGTTAACACTATGTACTTTTTATAGGTTATTTGGATGTAGACTCATTTATGAGGATTGAAATATTGTCTCTCCTCCCTACCTTACACTCTGGTAACCATAAGTTTGTTTTCTATGTCTATGAGCCTCTTTCTGTTTTGTAAGTAAGTTTATTTGTGTCCTATTTTTAGATTCCAAATATAAGTGGTATCATATGATATTTGTCTTTCTGTGACTGAGTTCACTCAGTGTGATAATCTCCAGGTTTATCCATGTAGCTACAAATGGCATTATATCATTCTTTGTTACGGCTGAGTAGCGTTTCATTGCATACATATATATATTTATACACTACATTTCCTTTATCCATTCATCTGTCGATGGAACGTCATTTAAGTCGCTTCCATGTCTTGGCTATTGTACAAAGTGCTATGAAAATTGGGGTGTATGTGCCTTTTCAAATTAAGAGTTTTCTCTGGATATATGCCCAGGGGTGGGATTCCTGGATCATACAGTAATTCTATTTTTAGTTTTTTAAGGAACCTCCATACTATTCTCCATAGTGGCTGCACCAAGTTACACTCCCACCAACAGTGTAGGAGGGCCCTTCTCCTCCACACCCTCTTCATATAATGGTACTACTTCTGAAGAGAGGTATGGGAGTAAGCATAGCGTTGAAGAAAATTAGATTTTAGATTTAGCTGTATCTGCATGTTTAAAATTTTTAACACAAAACTGCACTATTTAGTTAAAAAAACGTTTTAAATTTAATCAACTCTTTTGAAAGTTCAATTACAAATGATAAATGAAAACACCCTCAAACATGACAAAAACTTTTCTTCTGAACCATTTATTATTTCTTAACAATCACTTACCCCCAGGCAATGGCTTCTCTTTATCTACATTGTTGTTCTCATACTGGAATTCATAGCCAAAATGCTTTACTCTTCGGTGTTTTAAGGATTTTTGAACTGTATGAAGAGAAGACAGTAAATTAGAACCTCTGTGGCCCTATTGATTTCCTGTCTGGAAGATCTATCCCTTGATGTGAGTGGGTTGTTAAAATCTCCTACTATTATTGTATTCCCATCAATTTCTTCCTTTATATCTGTTATTTTTTGTTTTATGCATTTAGGTGTTCCTGTATTGGGTGTAAATATATGTTAGCAAGTATAATATCCTCTTCCTTTAATGATCCTTTTATGATTATACAGCATCCTTCTTTGCCTTTCTTTATGGTCTTTGTTTTAAAGTCTGTTTTGTCTAATATAAGTATTGCTACCCCTGCTTTCTTGTCATTTCCATTTGTATGAAGTATTTTTCCATCCCCTCACTTTCAATCTATGTGTGTCCTTCACCCTAAAGCGGATCTCTTATAGGCTCATGTTTTATTATCTAATCTGCCACCCTATGTCTTTTGATTGCAACATTTAGTCCATTAACATTTAAGGTAACTACTGACAGGTAAGTATTTATTGCCATTTTAAGTCTTGTTTTCCAGTTGATTTTGAATTTCTTCTTTGTTCCTTCCTTACTCTTTTTGCTTTTCCGTTTGTGGTTTGATGGTTTTGTCCACATTATGTTTGTGTTCTCTTCTTTTTGGTTTCTGTGAATCTCTTGTATGTTTTTGATTTCTGGTTACCCTGTTTTCCAAGTATGTTAACCCCTTACTACATCTACTTACTTTATCCTGGTAATCATATAGGCTCAAACACATTCTAAAACAAAACTCTGTTTTCTTACACACCTTCCCTAAATTTTATGATTTTGATGTCTTCTTTTACATCTTCATGTTGTTCACTGTAGATACCACCTCATTTCCAGTTGTGATTTTTTTCATATAAATTCTTACTTCTTTTCTGTTTAGAGAAGACCGTTGGACGTTTCTTTTAGAATAGATTTAGTACTGCTGTATTCTTTCAGTTTTTGCTTGTCTGAGAAACTATTTCTCCTGTTCTAAACGACAGTCTTACTAGGTAGTGTATCCTACATTGCAGGTTTTTCCCTTTCAAGACTTTGAATATATCTTCCCCTCTGACATGCAACGTTTCTGCAGAGAAATCAGCTGACAGCCTCATGGGGGTTCCCTCATAACTCACTGTTTTTCTCTTGCTTATCTTTGCCTTTTACTTTTGCCACTTTAATTATATTATGTCTTGGTGTAGATCTGTTTGGGTTCATCTTATTTGGGTCCCTTTGTGCTTCCTATACCTGGATATCTGTTCCCTTCTTTAGATTTAGGAAATTTTCAGCCATAACTTCTCAAATACATTTTTGATCACTTTTTCTCCTTCTGGCACCCCTGTTATACACAGAATGGCATGCTTTACATTATCCCATAGGTCTCTTATATTGCTTTCTTTTCTTTTTTTTTTCCATTTGTGTTTCTATCTGTTCTTCTGACTGGGTGATTTTCATTTTTCTTAATCTCCTAGGTCACTTATTCATTCTTCCGCATTATGTAGTTTGCTGTTTATTGCCTTTAGCTTGGCTTTCATCTAAACAATTGGGTTTTCTGATTTTATTTGGCTCCTCTTTATAGTTATTAGGTCCTTTTAGTCATCTGCATTTCTACCAATAGCCTTTCTTAATTCCTTCAGTATTTTTATTATCTCCTTTTTTAACTCGAGCTCTTGTAGACTGAGGAGGTCTATTTCATTGTCCTTTCAGGGGATTTCTCTTGTTCTTTTAATTAGGAGTGGTTCCTCTACTTCTTCATTTTACTTATATTTCTCTACCATCTATGAATTTAGAAGTAACAGTTACTTACTGTGGTCTAAAGGGCTGTTTTTATGTGGGTACATCCCTGTGCATTTAATGTGCATTTAATATTTTTGTTGCAAGGGCTAGTTTTAGTATGAATGCCTGCCACATCTTTCCTCCATGTGTGCTGGCTGCTACCTCCTTGATAGGCGGTATGATTGGTGTTGTGGTGACCAGAGCCTGGACTGGATGTTGAACAGGGCCTCCTCTGCTCTGTGGTTTTCACAGCCCTGTTGAGCTCTGGGTCCACAACCCAGTTGTTGGAGCAGAAGCCCCCAGACCCATTTGTGAGCTGCTATGTGAGGTAGGTGAGACTGCAGCCCTTCCACTGGGAGAGGGGCCACTGAGTACTCCTCTACAGGAGATGTCATCCAGGCAATGTACTCTGTGCTGTGGAGTCGACTGTCACCCTCTGTGCAGGCTCACAAAGTACTGTTTTTGGTGCTGTCCTCCATCTTGCCTCAGCTGAAGGAAAGCTGCCAGCCTGCCCAGGTGTCCCTCAGCTGCTATGCTCACAAAAGCCATCAGGGTAGATCCACTTAAGTCAGGTACCTGGACCCATGTAGTCATGCACCTGATTTGCTGTGGGCTACAGGGTCAGTCAAGACCCCAGTCCTGCCTCCATGTGCATGTGCCCATTTTTAACAGCCAGCCTGCCCCAGCCATGCACCAGTTCTCCATCTGGACTTCCTACATGCACGAAGCCCAAAAAGGCTCCAGGGATGCAAATCTGCCAAAACTGCCCAGGACACGGCTCAGACCTCAGCCTCACCTCTGAAGTTGAACAGCCCCTGGGAATGGGCTCAGACTTCAGCTCTGCCTCCACTTGGGGGTAAGCCACAGGCAACGGTGCTTTCCCAGAGCTCCCAGAGGTGGACCTGCCCCAGGCCAAGAGGGAGCCTGGAAGGAGGCTGCTATGGTGGGGTCCTGCACCTTCCCTTACAAGTACATGTTAACAATGGGGCTTTTTATGGCAGGGCCACATCCTGTGTGCAAGCAACAATGGGGGCCTTCATGGAGGACCTGGGCTCCCGCGCACACACTCCCAGCCTCAGCCTGGCAGCTCACGCCAGATCTCCCAGGCCATCTCCATGTGGCCAACCCCAGTCCTCTCCCTGAATCTGTCCTCTGAAGCCCCAGCCTCAGCGCCCAGCTCCCACGTGCACCAGCAGGCTACGTCTCGGGCTGGGGAGCACAGCTAGCTGTCCTGGATCCTCCACGCCAGTTTCTCTCTTCTGCCTGTCTCAGAGCAGCCGCTGTGCTGCCCTCCCAGCGCATGAAGCTCCCTTTCTGTCCTGGCTGGTCTCCCTGCTGGTGCAGGGGAGGCTGAGGAATCTTTTCCTCTTTCACCACTCCTTGCCCAGGGCACAGGTCCCATCCCAACTCTTTCCATGGAGATTCCTCTTGTGGCCCTCTTAGCATAAGATCTTTTGCCAGAGTTCAATAGGTATTCAGTGAAAATTGTTCCACATGGAGATGTATTTTTGATGTATTTGTGAGAGGAAGTGAATTCCACAACCTTCTATTCCATCATCTTGAAGCCCCACCAACAGCATACTTTAAATCATCTCTAGATTATTTACAACACCTAATACAATGTAAATGCTACCTAAAATAGTTGTAAATACAATGCAAATACTATGTAAACAGCTGCCAACATGTAGCAAGTTCAAGTTTTGCTTTTTAGAACTTTCTGGAATTTTACTTTTTCTTCAAATATTTTTGATTCATGGTTGATTGAATCCATGGACATGGAACCCACAGATACAGAGGGCCAACTGTATGTAAAATGGCTTATAAATGTTAGTGCTACTAATGTTGGCTAATATTAATCAGTTTGGAGTTTTAAATTGATACTTATATAAATGCTATTCATTATTAATACTCTTAAGAATTGTTGGTATGACTTACCTAATATTGGATCCGGGGTACTTTAAGTAATTTTAAGGAAATATTAGCGTTTGAATAAACTAAATGAGGAGACGGAAAGATCAGTAACATTTTGCATTAAACTTAAACATCAGGTTTAAAGTTTTACTTACAATTTTGATTGTCTGTATCTTCTGTCCAGTTAACACTTTCCAAAAGCATTTTCTCATCCTCAGGAGAAATAATTTCTTCTATCACCGTGAGGCCTGGAGGCAATGCTTGAAGCCCCAACTCTTTCCACGGGGCTGTGGGAAACCAATTAAAATAGTCAATATACAACCTTAAAGTTCTCATATACTAATAATTCTGTCCAATAGCCATTTATCAGTTCATAAAACCCCAATCCTCATTTTCAGAGATAAAAATGCTGAAAGATACATAACCTATTAAAAATGCAATAATAAAAGCCAAGATAAAAATTATGGTACATTTTATTCACTGCAATTACTAATAGCACATAGAACAGTATTTACTTAAATATTTTGTTCGAACATGATTGAGCCACTCTTTAAATCTCACTAAGAGAGAAGGTTTCTCATAATATCTACCTCCATAAACAAATCAGATCCTAAATATGAATATAAAAATTTTTGAAGTTATTTTTCCCCCTAGGTTCATGATACCAGCTATGATCAAGTAATAGAAAAGTGTAAAATAACATAAAATTTTCTAAAAAGTCATTTTCTAAAAAAATTATTTAGCATGTATTAATTTCTGTCCTTCAAAGTTTTAGATAAGTACAGCTCTAGAAGGAAAAGAAAAAAATAATTTATGATTAGATAAAAGAAATAGTGTAATTCATATTTACTATCAGGGATCTGATCATTCATGTTACACATATGACTTCTGAAGCTCTTCTACAGAACAGTTTTCATCTTTGAATTATTTAATATAGAGATTCACAAAGATAATAATATAAATATCTAGTAGATTTATTAATATATAATGAATATAAATAGTGAATCATGTTATAAGTATTTATTAAGTGTTTACTATATGTCAGTCATTACTTATTTATTCAAATTATATAAGGAAAGCTTAGGGAAGAATTTCTTAAAGACAGGTAATTTATACTACAAGTAATTCATATTTAATTTTCTAAATATATATGTATTCTTTAAAAAGAATTTTAAATACCTCTTGTATTTGTTATTCAGTGGCTATCTGGAAGTAAACATCAAAACAAGTATAAAAATTTGTGACACAGTTCTATTCTCTATTCTATTCTCTATCATTTCTATTAAAAATAATTTCCAAGATTATAAACAAGGTTGCAATAATCTTAGAAATACACCTGGACCTAATATAGCATTTCAGATAGAAAACACTCCAAAACTCATTTTGTGCAATTTCTGACAGTGTTCAACACACTGAACAGGAGGAAACCCAAGGACAGTATTTTCTGATTAAGACTTAATTCCTAAACATTCAGCTTTTAAAAACTGATCACAAACACATAAAATATGAAAATAATCTAGTTTTCAAAATCTGAAAGCTTAACACAGATTTAAATTAAGTACTTACAGAGAATTATAACTTCAAAAGTACATCTTTAAAGGAGTTATTTAGTTTCCTTTGAATCTTATCATAAAAAAATACATTTGATCAGATTATACTCACCTACTTGCTCACAGCATATCTAAACAAAACTCTTTAACTGCCTAAATAGTTGGCAAATTAACATAATAAAGGAGATTAGGTGTCTAAATCAAAGTTCATCTCAATATATCTCATTTCCATAGGTGTGTGGTGAAAAGATGCAGCAATTCTGTAAATCAGTCTGTAAAGCTTTTATTTAAATTAGTTAACTTCATTTATTTAAGTAAAATGAAATTAAAAATCAGTTCCAAAACCACACAATCCTGTCGGACAGCCCAGATATGAACATACGAACATCTCCATCATCATGGAATGCTCTGTTGGACAGCTCCACTACAAAGCTTTGGGGACCCTTGGTGGCTAAAGGTATTTCTCCATAGTCATGAACCTTGGCACATAATCATTTGGATCACAATTAATTGTTAAGTGATTAATTGGAAGCTTCTGGGTAGACACTGTAAAATAATTGGTGATCTGAACCCTCAACATTAAATTTTGAAAAACAAGTCAGTAGCAGGGTTCCAAAACAAGTAACATAGATAATAAGCACACTGTTAGGTTGGTGGGACCAGCTCCTTAGATGCAGGCTATGTCTAAATCAGCTCCCTTCAACTGCTAGTCCCATGCTTGTGCAAACTAGGCACTTAAAGAATGTTCGTTAAACAAAAAGAGGTCGCTTAACTACTGTCCTGTTTTGTTTCACATAGCTGAAACTTCCAACTTAGCTATGAAAAGACAACTCACACAAAAGCAAACACCATTTTCAAAAAGATACTTGTGTGTTAATACCTTTTTCCACAAAGTTCAAGTACAGAGTGATCTTTTGTCCTAAGTCATCCACTATTTCTTTCCCACTGAGAGTATCATAGGCTTTCTTGGATTCTTCTGTAGTTCTGTATCTTACAAACGAGTAGGGCTTATTCGGTGGCATTAAGAGAGCATCCACGAATCCACACTTCTCTAACACTGGGAGCAGTTGCTTCCTACTCACGCTGTTACCCAAACCGCCATTGGCAACAACCAGGCTCTTAAGAAAACACAAAAAAGAAAGTAACATGAGCAGTTGACATCAACCTGTTACTTTAATTTAAATAAGCTTTAAATAATAAGGCATTGTAAATAATACTGATTTTTACATATTATTTAGTAACATACTCAGTTTTTTAATGACCATACATACAAATTAAAAGATAACTTTCACTGTTCATAAATAAAAGTTTAACATAATGAAAGAGAAAGAAGAGGCAGAAAGGAGAAGAAACAAAGATTTACAAAATGCTTGCTTTTTTGCTAGACATTGTGCTATATACTCTTACCTACTTAATCCTCATTAACATAATTTCCACAACAATCCTACAAGGTGGGTGATATTAGCCCCACTTCACAGAGAAAGAAACTGAAAAGCAGAAAAATCAGGTTAAGGTAGTGATTAGGTGGAGTTGGGTTTCAAACCTACTTCTGTCAGTTTCTAGAATCCATATTTTTGATATAACCGTTACACAATGTTTACTAAAACCTAATGGTACTGGCTCAAAGAAAAAACAATTACAAGTACTACTGAACATAAAATAGGAAAAAAATGTCCTTTGTATCTGGATTATTCAGTCATTTTGCAATTAAATTTTGTTCCTTTAGAAGTACCATGCTTACTTCTTGCCATTTGCAATCCTGGTCAACTTCATTCAAGGGACTGGGGTGGGGGGCGGTGTCCTATTTTTATTCTGACGCTTATGACCTAGTGCCCTTATAGTCTCTGTGCTTAAAAAACGTTCTACACAGTGTGAAGATCTTCACACTCTGCAGCATAACGAAAGTGAACTATTGATAGCCTACTCTCATCCGTTTCATCATTTATACCACGTATTGGCAAACTTTTCTGAAAAGGGCCAGATAGTAAATATTTTAGGCTTTGCAGATCATGTAAGCCACTGTCATAAATCTTGTTTTAATTTTTAAGAACTCTTTAAAAATGTAAAACTCATCCTTAAGCCAGATCTGACCTGAAGACAGTAGTCGGCCAACCTTTGATTTACACAAAGCTGGAATGTAGAATACAATGTATATATATGTACATACATATAATGGGAATATCTAGAACCTTGTTTTAAAGAATATAAAAGAATCATTATAAAATTGAATAATAAGTAAAGCTCTGCTCTGTTACGAGGCAGCCCATACTTTGCATGTATGCAGGTGTACACATAATCAACACACTAATATGGTACAAAATTTATTCTCAGATGGCTTGGCCTGGACCTCATTTAGTAAGGTTTAAAAATTAAAGTAACAAAATAGTTTGGTTACATGCTGTCATAGTTACAAAAACATTTCCACATTCTCAAATCTAAGGAACTGCAAAGGCTTTATAAATGTCAAGGACCCACTGCCCCATCTAAGAATTGGGGAAGATAGTCAAGAGGTGACTGGAGGAATACTTGTGGTCCTCAGAAATGCTGTCCAAGTGATTTGTGGGCAATTGTAAAGAAAACCACACAAAAATAAGTGTAATGGGGAGGAGCTTATTTACTATTATACGAGTTATATAATATACTTAAATGCAATTAATTGTTTTAAAATAATCGTTTTATTTATAGTTGTTCAGCCAAGCAATTTTCCCAGTAATATGAAGAAGAGAATTCAGATTTTTTAAAACTCATCTTCTGCCCAGATAATCTGAAAATCATGGCTCCAGAAAAATCTAACAACCATTATAAAATTGCACAAAGGCACCTATACTTACATAGTGAAAAGACCATTTGTTCTCCCGTAGGTAGATAATATATAATTGGAAGTCCTTCCACAACTGTTTTCTCTTGTTTTAAAAATATTGAGGAGAAAAAATAATCAAGCCCAAATAAAATGACATTTTGGAAGCCATGAAGGTGAGACTAAAGCTTCTAGAGATCTGAGAGAAAAGTCAGTCCCAACCAGAAACAAATGTCAGAGGCAGCAAAGAAATTTAATCTGAGACAGGAGGGAAGGGGGCAGGGCACAACCATTAAAAGAGTGACACAGGATACGAGGATACAACATAAACTGGTTAGAACCAACTAGGTCCAAGATGGCAGAAGAGTCAACTTTCGGTAGACCTTCCGCCTCATTAGACACTCAGTAATACATTAGCATGCTAAACGACATGCCCACAGGTGCCATGACCGTTCCCAGGCTGAACATAAAAGGCCAAAGAGTAGGTGGGGCCCAATTCATGGAAACCCTCACCCCTTCCCCCAAATAGGAATAATCCTCCCACTTGTTTGCATATGAAATTACCCAGCCCATAAAAACCAACCAACCCCCCCGCAACTGCCGCCCGCACTGGGGGCCACGCTCCTGTCCGAGAGGGACCACATTCTGTCTATGGAGTGTGTATCTCTCTAAATAAACTCGCTTTCACTTTACTATGGCTTGCTCTTGAATTGTCTCCTGCACAGACAAGAACCTACCCTCCAGTAACAAACCCATTTCTCTTCTTACTACTTTACGCTTGAGAATTGACGCAAGCAGGGTATGTCAGTATAATCTTCTGAATGCCTCACAGCCTCAGTGGCTCTTGGCAGGAAGTGTATGCAGACATAGTAATTCTAATCTATTATCTACTCCATCCTTTCTAGAGGAATTTGGTTTAAATTCTCTCAAGTCGTTAATAGTTAACAGAATCTAATTATGGGCCTTTTACCTGCTAATATTAAATCTCCCTCAACAGACCACTTATTCCAAAACTATGACGCAGCACAGAAGACAGCATAAGCAAGACATAAGGAAAGAGTGCTGGTCTGAGACTCAAGAGATCCAAGCTTTAATCCCAGCTTCACTTTCTAAATTATATTTCTTTGGCCCTCAGTTAGATGCTAGCTAAGCTTCCTTATTATTCTTATCCTGTATCTTCAGAACCAGAAAGAATATCGTAAGACTATTTTATATTCATGTGGTATTTCAATGGCTAGGAAGTATGATCACATGCATGTTCTCTTCAGAATCTAACAATCCAATAGGATAAAAGGGTATGTAATACTATGTCCTTACAAATGGAGAAAGCTGAGGTCAAAGGGTACTGCTCATGAACAAAGAAATGGAGAAGCTAAGAGTTAAACTAAGTTCTTCGCATTCATAGCCCAGGAAGTAAAACAGA